AATGTACTAGACTGCAAAGTTAGTTTGAACCTCAAGGTCCATGGTTCAAGGTCACTAGACACTACTCAGAAACCCTATACAGGGTCACTATAAGTCAGAATCAACTCGACGGCACTTAACAATGACATAAAAAATGAGAGTTCAAAAGGCACAAAGTGGCTGGCTTACAAGCTTTCATGAACGTGCATAGTTTCAGAATGAAGAGGGTAAGGTAGAATCCCCACTAAATAGTTTTCGTCTTTTCCATATGGGTCTGGTGAAAGGGGTGAGGCGAGGATGGGGATAGGATATTATGATTCAATTGTGAATAATTGTTATAAGGACAAATTGTGATTGTCACAATTATGAATGTAGAAGGTGTGTAACTAAAAGGAGTGAGTAATTAATCTTTCATTTCAGGAACAGAGGACCCTAGGGCCAGCAAGAGGGAAGAGCATGAGGGGAGTCCGGGATCCTAACCAGAAAATCAGTGACAGAAGACAGTGGCAGAGGCAATGGCATAAAGAGCTAGAACAGCTGGGGACTCTAGGTTCAGGGACTGAAAAGGCTGTGTGCCTGAGGGCAGGACGCTAGCTTGCAAAGTATGCCCTTTGGACATTTAAATGAATATGTATTTTCTATTTTGTATGTGTACATCAAAAAAGGGGGGAAGATAGAGATAAATACTGTTGACTGATGATACATGGAGGGGATTGTAATAATTGCTATGAAACAAATATGATTTATTGAATGTAAAATTGATAATCTGCCCCTGTAAACGTTTACTCAATTCACAATAAAAACATTAAACACAAGGCTCTACCCAAACCAGCATTAGTCTAACAAAAATCCTCATAACCAACTACCCTGTCCCCAGCTGTCCTGTGGTCCCTAACAGACACTGAAACCATTTCCATCAAGGGTCTCCACGAGCTATTTCCGGATTGAGTGTTGAACATAGTTAGCACCTAGGCCTATAGGAACTCCATCTAGAGCCCAGAACTCTGCTTTCATATCCTTTCTGCACCCACCACTTAAGCTCCTTGGCTGGAAGGAGGCCCCCAGAGTTTTTTCCTCTTCAAGTTTAACCGGTGTACTGGTTATTTTGGTTTGTGTTTTGCTTTTTCCTTTCATTGTTTTGTTGGTTTATTCTTTCTTAGATCCCGGACTCCCCTCATGCTCTTCCCTCTTGCTGGCCCTAGGGTCCTCTGTCCCTTCTCTTTCCATTCCCTTTAATTTTATCCTTTCTATCTCCACTTTTGTTCTTCCTTCTTTTCTTGTCTTTCTCATGCCCCCTCTTTTTTTTTCCTTTTTAATTAATCATTTCGATCTTTCTTTACTACTCTCTACTGTCACTTTTCATCTGTTCTCTCCCTGGTTTTTCTAAGGGCTTTGTTTTTGTTTTGCTTTTCTTCTATTTATTTTCTCTCTTACTTTTCTCTTCTATAACTCCATTTTCCTGTCCATTTTTTCTCTTTTTAGTTATTATATTCTTTTTTCCTGTAGTTTTTTTTTTTTTCCTTTATTGTTTTCACTTTTCATTGTTGGTTGATTGTTTGTTCTGTTTTGTTTTCTTGTGTGTATAGTGGGATTTTCTCATCTTTCCCACCCAACAAGCAATAGCAACCATGCCATAGTAGCCCAGCCACAATCATATACTCTGTAGCTCCATTCACTGGGCAAGAACCAATACCAGCTCCTATACCACCTGATCAATGATAGATAGCAGCCAACACCAGCCAAACCTAGCCTAAATTGAGGTGCATGAATGGTGAGTGGAGACTGGTGTACATGCTTCTATTCTCTAACTACACCCACAGCAGACAGTTGGTGAGAGCCTAAGAACACATCAATATACAATCATCGATTAAATACAAATACAATAACCCCACAATGTCCCGGAGACAACAAACAATTTTAGCTCACATGAAGAAACAAAAGAAAACGAATCAGGAAAATACTACAAGAACAAACAGACAAAATAACTGCAAATTTTGAAACAAGATTTACCATCTCGGAAACCCTATGCAGGGTTGCTATGGGTAGGAATTGACTTGACGGCACTTAACAACAAAACTGCAATTAGAAATCCAGAAGATGAATACTAAGATTTCAGAATGGACAATACACTGAAAGGGCAAATGAGTAGATTTTAAGCAATGGAAGCCATAATTTGTGAGCTTGCAGGCAAACACTAATATGCTAGAACAATCAGAAAAAATAATGAGGAAAGCCAAAGAAACCTAAGAATTCTGTGGGATCATGAAAAGGTATTCCTTTTATAACTTACAGGTGATCAGAGCTCCAGAACAGGAAGAGAAAATAAAAAGCACAGGAAAAATTGTCAAAGAGTTGTTGGAAGAAAACTTCCTTAACATCATGAAAAATGTTTATATAAGAAGCTGAACAAATCCCAAACAGGATAGATCCCAAAAGAAAATCACCCAGACATATCATAATCAAATTTTCCAAAACCAAAGACAAGGAAGGAAAATGAAAAGTTACCTATAAATGAGAACCAATAGGTCTACACTCTGATTTCTCAGCAGAAATTATATATATAGGTGAGAAGACAACAGGATGGTATATAAAAAACTGAAAGAAGAAAAATGTCAACCAAGAATCATATACCCAACAAAGCTGTCCCTCTAATATGTGAAATCGGGACATTTCTAAATAAACAGAAATAAAAGGAATTTGTAATAACCTGACCAACTTTGTAAAAAATACTTTACAAAAAAACAACAGCAGACAACAACTTGACAATATCATACACGACAGGGTCAGGAGCACCTTAGTCCTCAAGCTGATATCTTTGCTCTTGAACACTCTCAAGAGATTTTGTACAACGTATTTGCCGAACCACTCAGAACTCAATCCAGATATAGAAATAATTAAGGTAAAACCAAAGGTGCTCTGGTAGCATAGTGGTTACAAATTGGGCTGCTAATCTCAAGGTCAGTAGTTTGAAACTACCAGTAGTTCCGCAAGTGAAAGATGAAGCTTTCTTCTCCTGTAAAGATTTACAGCCTCAGGAACCCTATGCAAGGTCACTATGGGACTGAATTGACTTGATGGTACTTAACAACAACAAAGTAAAACAAATGTACAAGGCTTCTGGACCCCATAAATCCAAAGAGAGGATGTCTCTACGTTGTGGGGGAGCCACCCACACCCTGGGACACTGGGTATTAGGAAGATATTTATTTAGCCCAGCTAGAACACTAAGTTCCTTGCCAGATCAAAAGAAGGAGTTTTTACAAAATGGTCCAGACCTTCAAGATTTTGTATCTGGTGATCTTGCAGACAAGCGCACCTGGGATAAATATAAAGGAAACTTAAAATGCCAGAAGGCGAAAAGTTAAGGCTTCCTCCTTGGCTTAAGACAGAGACTCCCATAGGGAAAAATTACAATAAGCTGAAAAACACATTGTGGAATTGAAATCTTCATATAGTGTGTGAGAATGTATGATGGCCCGATATTGGAGAGTGTTGGGGAGGTGGAGAGTTTGCCACGGCCACAGCCATAATCATGTTAAGGGGTGACACGTTCATAAGAGGCTGCAGATTTTGCTCTGTTAAGACTGCAAGAAAGCCGCCCCCACCCCCTTGGATGCCAATGAGCCCTAAAGTACTGCCAAGGCGATTGCAGAATGGGTTGTGGATTATGTGGTCCTGATGTCTGCAGACAGAGATGATATGCCAGATGGAGGAGCTGAGCACTTTGCAAAGACTGTACCATACTTAAAGGAAAGGAATCCAAAAATTCTCGTGGAATGCCTCAGCCCTGACTTTCGAGGAGATCTTAAAAGCAGTAGAGAAAGTTTCTTTGTCAGGATTAGATGTGTATGCACCTAATGAAGAAACAGTCCTGGAATTAGAGAGGAAAGTTCGTGATCCTCAGGCCAATTTTGACCAGTCTCTATGTGTACTGAAACATGCTAAGGCGGTTCAACCAGATGTTATTTCTCAAACACCTATAATGTTGGGTTTAGGGACGAATGATGAGCAAGTACATGCAACAATGAAAGCGCTTCGTGAAGCAGACTTCAGCCAGCCAAGTGCCACCCTAAGGTTGAAGAGTACATTAGTCCTGAAAAGTTCAAATACTGGGAAAAAGTAGGAAATGATCTTGGCTTTCACCATACTGCAAGTGGCCCTTTGGTGTACTCTTCATATAAAGCAGGTGAATTTTTTTCTTAAAAAAATCTGGTGGGCAAAAGAAAAACAAAAGCTCTCTAAAGCTTCAAGATCATGGGAATTCTAAAAATTTGATTCCAGTTAGTAACAGTGCAGCCAGAATTCTGGACTTCAATGGATGTGGACCACCTCTTTGACTCAAGAAAAATATCAATAAGTTAAATGTATTTAATTTTAGTAATTCACTTGGCTTTTAGCATATCTTCTTTGTCCTTACTCATAAACAAATTTCATGCTGTGATGTAATCATAAAATAGTTTTGTAAGACTTTAGGATTAACAGCATAACTTAAAAATACAATAAGAACTTCCAGAAGGCCCCAAACAAGCAAACAAACAAACAAGCAAACAAACGTAGAAGACTGAAAACAGGAAACCAGAGATATCATTGCATAATCAACTCAACTAGCAAAGCAAAAAGAGGCAGTAGTATACAGAACTTCCAAATAGCGAAGAAGTCAAGCAGATTTCAGGATAAAACAGGCTATTTTAAATAGGGAAAAAAATAATAAATTACAGGGTAACCTCAGATAAAATTATTATACCTTCACATCAAAATAAAAAAGAGAAAAATCAGAAATATTTAGTAAACAGGAGTCCTCATGTGGCACTGCACATTAACACACTAGATTGCAAGATCAGTTTGAACTACAAGGTTGGTGGTTCAAGCTCATCAGCCACTCCTCGGAAACTCAGGGTAACTATGAGTCAGATCTGACTCTATGGCACTTACCACCACCACTACCAACAACAACAAAACACCAGCAATTTAAAAAATGACAAATAAATGCACAAACAAAATGAACTCAGCACAGAAAATTATATGGAACAAAGAAACCTGCAGCACAACAAAATAATACACAGTAAAATGACAATAATCAATTTTTACACATTTTGATAATTACACTGAATGTAAATGCACCAGTCAAAAGACAAAGAGGGCAGAATGGATAAGAAAACAGGATCCTTCAATTCGCTGACTACAAGTGACACATCAAAAAGATGTGCCTAAAAGCCCAATCACAGAAGAATGGTTAACAAACTTTGATGTATGCATACAACAGAATACCTACTATGAAACACTGAAGAATAACAGTGAACCTGTGAGATATCTTACAGTGTGGATAATCCTGGAGGACAGCATGCTGAGTAAAATTAATCAATCCCAAAAGGATAAATATTGTATGAAACCACTGTTGTAAAAAGTTACAAGGTTTTCTTAATAAAAGAAGCATTCTATGTTGGTTTCTGGGGTTGGGAACTAAAGGGTAGATACATGTTAACATGGCTGATGGGGCAGGCAATATACAAGAGGGAGGTTGACAGAAAGATGAAGGTCGTGGGAGATATGGAGGAATGCAAGAATGAAAGTGAATAGAGGTAAATACTCTTAACTCATGGTACATGGAAGGGACTGCAATCTTTGCAATGAAGCAAAGTGTATGGTTTGTTGAATGTAAAGCTGATCATCTGCTCTGTAAACCTCCACTCAATTCACATTAAATATTTTTTAAAAACAATGCTCCAAGAATTGACAGAATACCACGTTTCAACAAATGGATTCAATGCTGAAAGCACTTGCTCATCTATGCCAAGAAATTGGAAAGATAGCTACCTGACTGGCTGAGTAGAAGGGCTCAATATTTGTTCCCATTCCAAAGAAAGGTTATTCAACAGAATGTTGATGTTATTGAACAGCCTCGTTAATAACCTGTGCAAGTAAAATTTTGTTGAAGATAACTCAAAAATGGTCACAGTAGTACATCTAGAAAGAACTGCCAGAAAATTCAAGCAGAAGAGGACATGGAATCATTGCTGGTATCATGGATCTTGGCTGAAATCAGAGAATATCAGAAAGCTGTTTACCTGTTTTATTGACCATGTAAAGGCATTTAACTGTGTGGATCATAAATTATAGATAACATGGCAAAGAATGGGAATTCCAGAGCACTCAATTATGCTCAGGTGTTATTGTTGTTAGGTGCCATTGAGTCGGTACCGACCCATAGTGACCTTATGCACAGCAGAACGAAACATTTGGCCAATCCATCTAGTTGGGAGTCTTCATCTTTTTCTCTGACCCTTCACCTTAACTTCGGATATCCTTCTGACCCTCCATGATATCCTTCTCCAGCGACTGGTCCCTCCTGACAATATGTCCTAAGTATGAGAAAATGAAGTTTGGCCATCTTGGCCTCCAAGAAGCACTCTGGCTGCACTTATCTATTGGTTCTTTTGACAGCCCATGGCACTTTCAACATTCTCCTCCAACACCATACTCAAAGGCATCAGTTCTTCTACGGTTTTCCTTATTCACTGTCCAGTTTTCGCATGCATATGAGGTTATTGAAAATACCATGGCTTGGGTCAGTTGCACCTTAGTCTTCAAGGTGACAACGTTGCTCTTCAACACTTTAAAAAGGTCTTGTGCAGCAGATTTGCCTAATGCAATACGTCGTTTGATTTCTTGACTGCTGCTTCTGTGAGTGTTGATAGTTGATCCAAGAAGAATGAAGTCCTTGACAACTTCAATCTTTTCTCCGTTGGTAAGAATGTTGTTTATTGGTCCAGTTTTGTTTTCTTGACATTGAGATGCAATCCATACAGAAGGCTGTGCTCTTTGATCTTCATCAGTAAATGTTTCAAGTCCTCTTCACTTTCAGCAAGCAAGGTTGTATCATCTGCATATCGCAGGTTGTTAATGAGTCTTCCTCCAATTCTGATGCCACGTTTTTCTTCATATAACCCAGCTTCTCGGATTATTTGCTCAGCATACAGGTTGAATAAGTATGGTGAAAGAATATACAACCTTGTCACACACCTTTTATAATTTTAAAACATTCAGCGTTCCCATGTTCTGTTCGAACAACTGAAATGAGATGGTATGCATAAACATAGATATCTTAGGCCTTAGTGAGCTGAGATGGACTGGTATTGGCCATTTTGAATCTGACAACCACATGCCAGGAATGACAAATTGAAGAGGAACGGTGTTGCATTCATTGTCAAAAAGAACACATCCAGATCAGTCTTGAGGTACAATGCTGTTTGTGATAGGATAATATCCATGCATCATTCAATAATTTGCCCAGTTAATACCACTATTATTCAAATTTACACACCAACCACTAAAGCCAGTGAGGATGAAACAGAAAAATACTACCTTCTTCAGTCTGAAATTTATCAAACAC